GCAGATACTTTTGTAGGGTATTGTTATATTTAAAAAACGAATTGGGAACTAAAAATATTTTTGATCAAAAACTGCCCCGTCTCACGTTCTCTAAATCTGTATAGTTTTCAGAAAAATCTATTCACTTCTAAGGCTCATTTTCGTCAAAACATTGCAACAACATGACCATTTCTAGACTATTCTACAGTCAATGTCGACCTTGGATCTTAATCTCATTTCTACCTCAAGTCAAAACGAGTATCATATTCAGAATCAGCACTAAAAACTACCTTATATAATGTGCATTTCAGCACAAATAGGTTTTTCAGGGAAAAATTCGCGTGGTCTCTCTCAGCAATTTCCTTTCTCAAGTTACGCCTATGGTCCACCGAGGAGGACAGTTTTACGTAAAAACCTATTTGTGCTGAAATGTACATTATACAATGTGTGGATGTGCGTTACAGCAATCAATCGGACATGCTGGAGCCCAATATATCACCGATGTGTTACGAGATAACAAGGTAATCCTCATTTTTTCTTCATCTCTCTCATATCTATGTTTCCCTCTATCCATAAACACTCACGAATCTGCATCTCTTCTATGAAAAAAATATTTCGTCGTCATTTAAAGAACAACTGCAACGAAAAGACAATCGATTGAAATAACTAATAATTGCTGGCTTTTATTATTACTAACTAACTAATATTGTTTCTACCCGAACAGACGAAGATTTGAGAGAACGCGTTCAAACACTCAAAATGAAATCGTGACTAAACTCCATTCTTGCTGATTAAAAAATGTATAAAAAGCAAGAAATGCCGAAAAATTGGGTGTGAGTGTGCGAGTGAGCGGGTGAAGAGAAGATACCCACACTCACACCCTACATCCGATCATCTACACCTCGCCACCCACACCTATCCGCACCCAAACCCTACTTTTCCATGTAATTTTGTTTCATTCTATCCAACAGAATTTACGGTTTCAACACAAAAATTACGCTATAGTCATTTTCATTTTATTTTTGTATTCATTCATTAATTTTACCACTTTTATCAGACATTTCTAAGAAACATTCTGTTATTAATGAACAACCAACATCATCACATGATATTCTGCGGTGTAATATCATTAACGGATCTGTTGTAGCTTCAATATCAAATTTTGACTGGTGATTCAGGTAGATTAATTTTTAGTGTTGAGCGAACTCGTTCTCGTGATTAACTGTCAGAACATGCAAAATATATATCTGTATTAAATAATAATCTTCATGTGATAAATCTTTTTATATAAATTGATATATTCAGCCGGTGTACGAAGAAAATTAAAAAGATACTTAATTTTACATAAGTTAATTCAGTCCAAATGGCTCTCGATTGTTGTCAAGTCTTCGAAAAAAAAGCATCCTGTTAAAGTTGTACTACAATCATTGAATTCTATGAAACAATTTTTGTTGCTAATGGTTCATTTGGTTTGTCTGGAATATATATGGGCTTTGAGCAATCTTTAGATCAAATCTTATTAATTCTGCTAATATCACAATACAATTCGACGCCAGTAACCAAAATGGTATGTAAAATAACCACATATCAACACAAAAAAAATTGAAATTGAGCTAATTAAAGCATTGAGAATGCGTATGTCAGATATATCAAGTCTTCAAGAAGGCTTTGGAGTATGATAGAACAGTCAAAAATCTTTTTGTTAATATCATTCAGTACTTTTATTTCCATTTTCAACGAACTATGGGAAAAGAACTTGATATCATTTGTCTTCGACAAACAAAAAAATTCAACTTACACATTATTTCCCTTTGAAAAATATATATGTATGCTCCATAAGACAAGGAAAAGGATCTTTAAAAAAAATAATACTCTTTCAGCATGGTATAATTAATTCTGTCGGCTTTACTTGTCTTGATTTATGAATAACTTTAATATGAAAATAAAATTCTTTTTCTTATTTTCAATGTTGAATATTATTATTTGTTACCAATACGTTGCTTAAAAGTGACATATCTTCTAAATTTTTACGATCATTATATTAGGAAATTTCTCATTTTGATGCACAATTACAAATGAATATGCTAGTGCTTAGTTCAACTATTCTTAACCATTTAGCCATATTCAATGGATGCAGATGTATCATTTCTTTACCATCATATGAATATCGCGCAATCTTAATAGTGTTTCTTTATTCTCGAAGATTAAATAATATTTAAGAGTTTCAAGATTAAAATAATTCGAAAAAGAGATATGTCATTTTTTAGTCATTTGCACGATCAATACCGACGAGTATACGTTGAATGAACATATCCCATGATGGATCGATCAATTCTAGTTGTTTGCAATAAATACCATTACGTTGACTTGTTCGTTGATAGAATGCAATTGCCTTGTTGATTTGTTCGTTCATGTTAGCCGAAAAATACTGGCAAAGGTTAACCTAAATGAGATAGAGAGATGAGACAAGAAAATAAAACTATCTGCAATGAATCAATTTACTTTGATTTGTTCAATGTTAAATGGAATTTGAAACGTAATCTGTTGTAATATTTGTATTTGAAGGACGAACCACATAAGAATGACACCCGTACCAATCATACGAAGAAGTTCATTGCGTATGTTCAAAGCTAATGAAAAATGAAGTTCAAATCTCTATACGTTAACAGTAAATTATTCTATGTCTCACCAAATGGAAGAAAAAAAAATTTAGGTTTTCAGATGCAGAAATGTTTGGGCTACAAAATGATATAAAATAGAGATAGTTATGTCTTTATATTGTCAGAGTTTGACCTTAGTTTTTCTGTAAATGACCTTGTAAAATAGGGTAATCACGTCACATTGACCCCTATATGTCATAGATAAATCCCTGTTAAAAGGACAATTTTTCTGTCAAGTTGTAGGAAACTTGTTCCTCTTTCAAACTAGGTATGGATTATCCTTTTCGTACAGTCATAACCAAAAGTATATAAGATAAGAGAGAAGCGATCAAATGATGAATTTTGACTTTTTCATTTACTCAATATACAAGATCTTGTAAAATGAGAGGTAACTATGTTATAATACTAGTTGTCCAGGAACAGGCATTTGTAATACATTGACGAAGCATTTAAAGAACGAAAGAATCGCTTTCCATGCAATGAGTAGGCATCCTGATGAAATCTATGATTAGTAACTAAAACAAATGCTCCCAGTCTAAAATTGAATACGCCTAAATATATTATAAACAGTTCGACAGAAGTGTCAACTAGTCATTTTGAGCTCTCATAAATCAAAAGAGGACACTTAGAACACCTCTCTAAAAGCGTCAGTAAGCATTAGATGTAGTGTCATTAATATTATGAAGCAATAATCTAAGATAAGTCTAAGATCATTGATCGGTGACATTTCATATAACTTGCATAGTAAGAGAAAGTCTTTCATACGGACATACGATTATTAAAGATTTTTCGATGCTTTACGTAGAGGATCAGCTTTTAATAGGTTCTATCTAAAACACTCTTGCATAACACACCCTTCTAAAGTCTTACATTATCACTGCTCTAAACCATAATTCACCAGGTGCTACTATCTTCGGGATATTTGACACGCACTAACCACTACGATATTTTGATGTCCGTATAAATTATAAGGGAAATTTACTGTATTTATGTTGTTAAGCATAGCGTTTGTGTTTGTCATGCTATCCAGTATTTAAGAAATGAAATTTTTCGCTTTCTCAATCAATAGATATCAGCTGTAGCATCACTGCTACTGATATCACCTTGTATCTCGATTTACTTCTTCGATTCATCGGTTAAATTAGCAGAAAGTTGAAATTAGTCGTAGGGGTGCTTCTCTTTTGTCGGACAGGAATTTCGGTTATGACTGTACGAAAAGGATAAGGGTGTGGATGTGGGTGTGAGCGTAGTTTGGGGTTCTTTCTTCTAAAATATTGACACCTACTCTCATCCACACCCCGGTCTGTGGGGAGGGGGGAGTGTAAATTTCTACCCCTAAATACTTCAACACTCCTTTCAGACCGTGTTTCACAAAATCATTTAAGATAAAAAATGTTCGATGATCAGTTAATGAATTTATTATTATGTCCATCAGAAAAAGACGTATTAGATGCTTTAAATCTGGACGAATTAGTTATTATTTGAGGAACAAAAACAAAAAGATATCTTTCGATTTAATGGACACTTGAACTTCATCTCGACATCCATCGTTCTCATTTTTTTTTTCTTGCAAGATTTTATTTTATTTCTATCTTTGTTGAATTAACTGAAAATCAATTATGTTGTTTGTTTATGATAGAAATTTGCTAATGTTGATAAATTAAAGGTTATTCTTTATGTTGAACTTAAATAATACAGAAGTGGAAATGTGAAAATTAGAACAACCATTCGATGAAACTATAACGCTATAAATTAAAATCCGAATAAATGATCGTTTTGTAGATTGATGCATTAGATTATATTGAAAAGATTATATGCATAGTTTTAGACCGAAACTATCAAAAATTGTTAGTTTTTCGGAATGCTCGTTGGAAAAACTGACCACCAGAAAAAAATCATATGACGTTCATCTTCACTATTGCACCCCTCCCATGCTTTTTTTTCTTTCACTACATTCCTGGTACTTGCTACTGTAGAACGTAGACTTTTATATGAAGACAAGCTATGAAGTTTGTTTTTATTGACGTTGTTTTTCGTTCTCGGTAGTGACGTGTTTCGCTAAGGGAATGAAAAACCAGTAGGACAAGAAACATTTGAAGGAAGAGACACATAGGTAAGGCTTTGCTTTCACATGACGTCATTTCTATTTGGTTCGAAAGATAATGTTAGCTCGCTTGACTGAGCATTGCAAAATATGACTCAGGACATACCTGTGATTTCACAATCTGTCGTCATTTACTGCATGCAATGAAATGATATATAAGAAAGCTATATCGACAGGAATAAGCTCTATTGAAAGGTGAAGATTGTAATTTTTTGATTTTGTTCTCCTACTAGACGTTCTATCAGACAAAATTTTCAATGTCTACTGTCACTGTTATGGCGGAAACAGCTGCAATCAGTAAGAATAAGATGTACTTGGACTATGTACAACAAGCTGCAGTTGGAATCTTAATGGGTGCTTTGCGAAGTACGGCTGGAAATCAAAAGCTTACACCAAATGAATCATTGGCTGTGTTTTTTCATCCAGCAAATAAAGATCGGTCAATGAGCTTGATGTTTGATCTGTTAAAAGGATATATTCAAACGTGCTGCGATGAATTCTGTTGGATATATCATGATGTTTATATTGAACCGAAAATTTCTTTGAAAGAAGCTTTAGATTTAAATGGTGCTCATTATGTTTTCAGTCATTTCAATAAAATATTTGAAAACAGTCGTTCAAATACTACTGCTGGTCCAAAACATCTCAACTGTCTGGCCATTTGCACAGCATTTAATTATATGCCATTGCTTTTTCCAACAATTTTAACTCTTTATGACGAACATCAAATGGGAGGAACAAGAAGTAGTCGAGATGGAAATTGGAGCGAAGCAGAAAAAAACGTGATTCGTTTTGTTTTACAAGGAGTTGTTCAAAAAGCAATTGACTGGTTAAATGTACATAAGCAAGAAGAATTAAAGGAAATGCCATTTGTTTGTAAAGAAGATGAAAGCTGTAATAAAAATTGGGATTTGTTTAATTTTCCCGAAGACAAACAGGCAATTGCTGTTCAAAATATAAAAAAATTCTGGAGTGAGCTCCAAGAAACTCAGTAACAGCAGCAACAACAAGAACTGAAGAAAGACGACTAAATTCTAGTACCACACTGTTTTTATGTTATTTTTCAGAGTTAGGTTTTATCATTGAAGTGTATTATTTTTGAAGCTTCTTATAATACAGCGAGAGACCGATTACTGTCGACGCCAAAGTACCAATTCTATGCATTTTCAGAACTCTAAGTCCATTAGGTAGTTTCTATGCATAATACATGATTTTGCTTTATGCTTACAACCAATATTCAAAGAATATCCGTTACTACTTCGAAGCTTTTACACTTCATTGTCTTTTCTGTCATGAAACCTTGTTTTTTTCACTCACTTTTCTTTCGTTGAATAAATTAAAATAAACAACGCAGTTGTATCAAAATTCGATCAAGCTCATACACAAACGAATCACTTTTTCATATAAAATCCTGATTTCCGAGCACCATCAACTAAAGAGATATGCACTAATGTGTGTGATAAACATTTTCGTAGCACCTTACCCTCACGAGAGAACTTGTGTATATACGTATAGTAATGCGAAATCTAGAAAAATTCAAGCCAAGAATATCAATTCAAACGATTTTTTCCTCACAGAATTTTTTTTCTACAAGTTGAAACAATTCCTCCAAAGATGTTCTCCGATTGTTAGAACCTATTTTGAAACAATTTTAGTCTTTACGAAGAAATTTTTCGAACATTTTTGGGATCTCGCATCACTATACATATACAGACACATCTCTCTTATTGAGGGTGCCACGGAAATATTTACCACACACGTCAGCTCATATTTCTCTGTTAAAGATGCTCGAAAATCGTGATTCCAGATGAAAACAGATTTTTACTGAATGAACTTAACGGAATTTGGATGAAAATTTTTGAATTTTTCATTTTTCTTGAGCAAATAATGCTCATTGCTCGTCTTGAGAGTATAAAACCATCTGAATTGAAGAATTTTTATCAAAACACGGCAATTTCTTTGTGAATTTCAGATCGAAAAAATTAATTAATTGGAAAATTTGATCGAAACTAGGAAGCCTTGCGATCCATATGCGACCTTTGAGAAATTTCTTGTCTAGAAACCAAATCGTTTCAAAATCGATGCCAATAATTGAAGAACACCTTTTCAGGAACTGCTTCAACTTGAAGAAAAAAATCTCTACGATGAAAAATCGTATGAATTGATACATTTTCTCGAATTTTTCTATATTTTGCATCAATACACATATACGCAAGCATCTCTCCCTGAAGGTACCATGGAAACCTTATTAAGGGTGCTATGGAAATCTTTACCACACACAGAACAGCACATATCTCTACACTGTCGGTACTCGAAAATCGTGATTCCGCATGAAAAACACATTTCTCACTGAATGAACTTGACTGGATTTGATGAAAATCGTCGAATTTCTGATTTGCAATCCATCCAGTACAGCATATGTTTTCCATGGGGAATCGCAATTTCCGAGCACCCACAGCAGTAAGATATGTGCTGATATGTGTCGTGAAGCTTTTCGTTGCACCCTCAGTCTCAAGGAAGGTGTATGTGCATCTGCGTAATTATGTGAAATCTCGAAGAACTCCAGTTAAAAATATCAATTCCTGGGTTTCCGGTTGGAGAGATTTTTTTTCGGCAAAGGAAAACAATTTTTTGGACCGCGTTCTCCGATTGTTGTAACGTATTTTGCAATCGCTTTTACACCAGAGGATGAAATTTGTCAAAGATTGCTTGTTAGTCGCAAATAGCTTCGAGTTTTCCATGGGTAATCTCGCTTTTCGAGCACTCGCAGTGTCGAGAATATGCTGTGCGCCTTCCGATCAAACCTTTACTTGCACCCTCAGAGAGACGCTTGAGTATATGTGTATTTACCAGAACAATGTGGGTGTGGGTATGTCTATGTAGGTGTAGTGTTCAATTGTATACAAACCCATGCCCACACACCAACACCCACACCCTCAAGATAGTTACACTCTACATCTTGCATATATTTCAACGATGAATGCACATTTTGTTAAAAGTAAATACATATTTCGAAAGCCCATGCTACTTTGCATTACTGTGTATAATTATGCTTTAGTTTTGTCCTATGCATTAGCAAAATAAATTTAGTTCAATGAAGGCATCCTCATGTCCAGATTCAGACAAACTTGATTTTGCCACTGTCATCAAAGTTTGTTTTTAAAATTTTTCGTCACTATAGAATGACGTTTTTAGAAAAGTAATTATATATTCTGATAGCGCATGAAATTCTCTTGAGGGGAAGGTGCAGGTCTCCTTTTTGATTGAATGCTGTTTCACACCAACACCCTCGAAAACTACAATGACAAAGCTGAAATGAGACGCAAAACTGTCAATTGCAGGCGTCGAATGTTCTCGTTAGTATATTACCGTACATCTTCTGACAGAAAGAGCGAATAATTAAATGAAGTTTATAAGGATCATAAAACCAAACTGTAATGCTTTATGTCTTGTTATAAAAATGTTCTTCATAGTAAACCAAATCGCCGCTCAGCCACTAATTGCTTGAAAGTGTTTTGATACTGTTTTGACGACATGATAAACAAATAGAAAGTAAATACCTGCGGTGCATAAGTCAACATATAAAGAGTAAGAGCTATTCGACGAAGGTTGAGATTTTGCCACTGGTAGCATTTGATTGCCAGACTAAAAGTTAATTGAGGAAAAGTACAGAAAACTATCAAGAGAGGACACATGAGTTGTTCTTTCCGAGCTTGAATGTGTTTGTACAGTGATCTATAAAAAGATTCTTGAGCTAATCGGGATTTACTTCGAGCCGAAATCCATACAACGAATCCAGTTGCATAAACATTCAATATTAATGGTACAATGTGATGAATGAACATGAAGACAGTGTCAAACGCTTTCCATGCTGACGGTAACTCGAGTATACAAATAAGTTGATCTTCGTTCAAAGGATCATTAATTATTCGATGAAATAGAATATGTGCTATTCTGCTAGAACCAACTGCCACCACCATGAATACCATCAATCCAATACAGACTAGGCCACTTCTCTGCTGTGCAACATGCGTTTGATTATCCATTTTTCGAAGTTGAAGTACACGCATAACTGATACAATGCCAATTGTCCAACGACTACATGTTGATAGAGTTTTTTCGAGAAATCCACTTGACTTACAAAGCAGCAAAGTTGTCTTGATGAATTGTCGTTGAATAAGAAATAAAAAGATAACATACCAGAAGAAAACAATAAGAGAGAGTTGACTTGTGAAACAAATAAGTTTCAGAAACGAAACAATTGTAGAACGACGGATCGATTTTTGCGACAAAGTCACATACGTACAAACATTACTTATTAATCCGATAAGGAACATACAAGCGCTTAAGATCAATAATGCGAGTGAGTTGATTGTTTCTAAAAACAATATAATGCACTGTTTTATATATAGGGAAAAAGCGAAGAAATACAGCATGCAAAAGTCTTACAATATTGTTTGTATCCCTTTTCTTGAACTTAAACAGAATGGAGATTCATCAAAAAGAAGCACTGCAGTTTCAAATTTAGATACATCTAAAGATATAGTCTATTGATGTCGGTAGTACACATTTGAATGATGATACACCTAATTTGGTATTTCTTACATCAAAATTTTTTAATGTTCTTGGCAACTAGGAGCAGTTTTTATATCTATATATATTAAATATTTTCTAAATGTTTCTATAAAACAATAAATCTAAATCAACACGAATAAATTTTCTAGATGCGATAGAAACTATAGCTAAAGCAAATTGTTTCAAAGGTTTTTTTTACAAATCAAAACTATAGTCTGTCCAAGAAGTCCGTGCGTGTGGCTTTTTATTGAATAACTCAAGAACGCGAACAGCTAGATATCTTTAGTTTTCATCAGCCGAAGAAGGTGATATTGGGACGTCTTTTTCTCCGATATTGTATACGACGAATTGATTTTAAAATCAACCCTTTCTGCAAAACATCGAAAAAATGTACAAAAAAATTCTGTGGTTGACATGAAATTTTTAAGAAAAAGTAAGAAAATTCAAGAGAAATTCATATTTTTCGAGGGAGCAAATAAAGAATTGCATTTGTTTAATATTAGGAAGTGTAAAGATAATCATTTATCGGCTTGTCCAAGCGTAACGCGATGACGTTTTGTCCACAGTTTTATTAACTTTTCTCAACAATGAGGTTGTCTAGAAGGCTCGTGCCTTCGGTGGAAGATGTGCCTCAGTCTTCCCCCAAACCTCTGAAAATATGAACTCATTTGAACAAGCCGTTTGAAAATTATAGCAGAAATATGTGACGTAACGCGATGATGAACAAGGGACAAAAAGTTGAGGGTGACATGGTTGTTCTTTATTTTTCTGCGGATGTATACTACATTAAAAGAAATGTCCCATAGACGGTATGTAGCTAAGAGTTTGAGGTATCCAACAGATTAAAAAAAATTCCAAACAGGCCCCTTGTTTTGAAGAGTGATCAGTTTCATTAACGTAACGCGATGACGGGCTCGTAACGCGATGACGATGACTTTTGTAATAGTTTTTTTTATGCTTCATTTTGTCATATATACACCTCTGTAAAGACCAGATGTTATATTTATTCTAAGGATTAAAGTATGCACATGTTAAATGCTGTGTTTATTAATCCTTTTAATACAAAAAAAATTGTAAAAAAAAATCATCTAGTTTCCCTAATATGTATAGCAATGCCTGTGTAAGGTCGGGAAAATTCAAAATTTCAGTAAATATTTTTTCTCAATAATTTATATGTGGTTAGATAGAGCTCATAAAACTGTCTAAGAAACTGTACTTTAAAATCTTTTTTCACTCTTTTATATACATAAAAAACTCAAAATACTAAGATTATTCTATTACTGAGATCATTCTAAACGGAATGACCTTAGTATTTTGAGTTTTTTATGTATATAAAAGAATGAAAAAAAGATGTAAAGTACATTTTCTTAGACAGTTTTATGACCTCTATCTAACCATATGTAAACCATCGAGGAAAGAC